CAGACCCAATACTCCCGAAAGGTAAACGGGTGGAGACCAGACAAAAATCAGTCTCACAAGGTCAGCTGTTTGTGCACCTCCTGGCTTACTTTGACTATTCAGTTTCGATCCTGGAAAGGTCACTTCAGTAAACAAACTTGAAGGGACACCTTATCGCCGAAGTAGGATCCACCTAGATGGAAGAAGGAACAGGACATCTGGAGCTTACTCCTGCAAGGGTCCTTACATTTAATTATTGAGTAACCCCCAGTCAGTAAGGTGCTGCTCGTACACCTGACTCATTCGTAGACCCACCATCTCTGTTTCGCTGGATCTGAAAGCGGCTTTCCACTCAGTCGACCGCTCTAAACTCTGGCGCTGCCTTTCCGTGAAAGGTGTGCCCGAGAAGTTTATTTCAATGTTCGGTATGCGTTTTATACCTTCAAAGCATAAAATGTCACTACAAGACTGGGTCGGTCCAGCACCTGGCCTCATTCTAACTGGGGAAGTAACAGAGCAGGTGGATAAGTTTTGTTATTTGGGCAGCAACATCTCACCCGGTGGACTCATCACGGATGAAGTATCAGCTCGCATACAGAAGGCTCGGTTGGCATTTACCTACGTGAGACATCTGTGGCGCCGTCGCGACATCCGGCTGTCTGTGAAGGGCCCAGTGTATGCTGCGGCAGTTCGGTCAGTTCTGCTATACGGTGCAGAAACTTGGCCATTAAGGAAACAGGATAAAGATAGACTGTCTGTGTTAAAACACCACTGCCTACGTAACATTCCACGAATCTGGTGGGGCAGACGGACGAAAGATGCTGAGGTCGGGCGCAGAGTTTTAGGAAAATGCGGTCGCCCACTGGAGCAAGTGGTCGACCTCCATAGATTACGTTGGTTGGGGTATGTCACCAGATAGGTCGTCACGACGAGCGATATTCGCCGAGGCAAGTAGTGGGTGGAAGCAAGTCAAGGGTAGTCGAGCTAAGAGCTTTCATGAAGGTATGAAAACCCTAATCAGGAGTCTGGGTCACATAGGTCCCGTTAGGCTCCCTGGCTGAGGACCTCGGGATGGTCTTAACCAATGGTTAGAGACACTGAGTGATATGGCTGGGTGTCGTAAACAGTGGCGTTCTTGCATTTTGTCGATTTTTCTGCAAAATTAGTGCAATGAAATTCTAACTTCTCTCTTCGATCCTACTTTCAACCGCTTCTGTCTCTCTTCTAATGTTTATGTAAATAGGCAGACAAAAAAACAGCAACGAAAACCGGTGCACGAAACTGCATGGTTAATGGTTGTACAACTGAACTGACTCGTTGGGTGCATGAGTTTAAGGGTCGATCCCGAAAAGTGGACGTTCAATCAAGGCACCAGCGAACAAAACATTGAACCGAAACCCCGAAGACTTGCTTGAAAGGTTTGTAGAAGCCGCATCCGAGTGCATAGCTAGTGGTTGTAAAAACTGAACTGATTGATCGATTTCGAGCGACAATGTGGCTTTCATCAGACCTCTTCCTCTCAATGCCTATATCATTTGGAGCATCATGTACGGGTATGGATATAGTATCACTCCACACCAGACACAACAGTATCCACTTATGTCGTCAGTTCTATCAGTCGAATGAGTGTACGATTTCTCGATTTCGTAGACGATATACAGAAATGGTTTACGGAGGACATACCGTGCTCCAAGTGAGGAAGTGAAGTTCCATTACCTTTAACGGTCTATTCATGAAATTAAGCAGTAGCTACTGAATGAGAACGGATAAGAAAGGAATTCGCCCGATCAATACTCACATCCAGAACTGGGATGGGTTTCCACGTCCAGATCAAGAGCATCCAGTTTGGGCTGATCCCACGAATGCAACAGAACATGCCCAGTTCTCCGAAGCTCACGTGAAAAACGAGCATAGGCTCTCATTCGCGTATCACCGGGTTCCGAATCGACTGAGAACTGCCCCGTAAGTCCACTGGGCGCAAACGGTGGAGAGTTACGATCCGGGACTGGTGAGACCCGAGACAAACCGTCGTACACGTAACGCGAAGACAGCACCGAGCCGGCTCGGGAACTGGATTTGTGTGGTACATAGAAATTCAACACGACCGATGTGTCCAGATCACCACACATAACACCCGTCAAGTCCAGAAGCTTTAAATTCAGATCAGATGGTGAAAAGAAATTCAGACAATTACAGAAAACAAAACGATTAGTTAAACAATGTCCCAAAATGAAAGTCGTCTGATACATAAAATAAATATGAGGGACTTGGAGTGACGAACCACATAAGGCCCCAATAGGTTAGGTGTGGTATTGAACCAGGCGACAGCAAAGCTGCATAACATC